TTCAAGAAGTCGAGGCGGAAACACTTTGACGCCGCCTTCCAGCTGACGGCCTACGTCTTTTGAGAGGTTACGCTTCGCCGGCTGGGACAAGAAGATCAACCGCATCGAGCTCGTGCTGCGCGGCTTCGGACAGGGCCGTGATGCCGGCGTCAAGTGTCTCATGAGCCCCGAGGGCGCCGTGTGGAGGCAGAAGGTCGTGCGCGTGGCCGATTCGACAAGGCTCAAGTTTGGTGGCAGCAGGAGCAAGAACCCCAGGCGTCTGTAAGAGCGTCGGGCGCGTGTTGCAGCATGGTAGAAACGCGGGCGCAGGACGACAACGGATGGACAATCAAATGTACAATACGTGTACAGCTGTACTATATACCAAAGAATTCAAAGAACGGTTAGGGTGTTCTGGTTCCCCATTTCGCTCCCCCAACGCAACGCCGAACATGAAGGAACAGTAATAAAAAAAACAGAGAACGCCAGCCTGATCTCGCCCACTGTGGTATCAAAGACCCGGAACGCCATTCACTTTGTATCCCCTCCCCCTCCCCCAAGTAGAAACCCTATGCCCTGAATCACCATGATGTTATGGCCTCGGAGCTCTCTCTGATGCCGGCAATGTCCGACCGGCTTGATCCCGTTCAACTTGCTTTCCCTTGCCGCTGCCTCCGTGCCGTCTGTCGTCTTCGCTTCCCCATCCCGACTCTTGTCCCTCCTCGGGGCGTGGTTCACCGTGGAACCTAGGTGGGGACTGCTTGAGCATACGAGACCCTTCGTGCGTCCCGTCGTCCTCGTCCTCGTCCTCGTCCAGGAGCTCGCCGTCAACCATGTCGTACTCGGGCGGGTCGATCCATTCCCTCGGCACGACACAGGGCAGCGCAACGCCAATGCTGGCCGCGCGATTCAGCCAGCCAGGCCCACTCTGGCCCGTCAGCTTCAGGCAGAGCTCCGACGTGAAGTGTTGCAGTTCCGCGTGAGGAGTTGTACGAGGTGCCCTGGAACTCCTTGGACCACATCGTCGAGGATCTTCTCATCTCTCTCGTCATAAAGGTGAGCGTGCAGTATCTCGCATTGAGTGCGCCGGGGCTCGTCTGGGCTCGTCAGTAGACGCGTCATGCGCGCGGTCGTGCCGCCGTAGGCGTATTCGCGCCGTTGATGACGACGCGGAGTGGAGGAGGGAGGCGCTACGGACCACAGGACGGTGGATATCTCCCGGGCTGCATCTGTCAGTCCATGTTGTGGATGTGCAGGCGAAGAAGAGGGTGGCGCATCGGACTTACCGGCAGCAGGTCATAGACGTGAATGGTGCCTCGGTCATTGAGAAGGAACAGGGTTGATCGATGCGATTTGTGGATTGTCCTGGCCGAGTTGGAGCGTTGCGGACGTGTCGGAGGCATCTGGGGGGGGTCCACAGTGGGTGTGGGTGGTAGGATGCAAGGAGGAACTGGCGATGCTGTTTCCTCGAAGCTTGGGGTGAAGGCCAACTACCTAGGTACTTTAGGTAGGTAGGTAGGTACGCAAGGTAGAAGACGACGAAACGAGCGGGGCAATGGAGCGGGATCAGGCACAAAGATGAGAATCAGGATGAGCGTTTGTCAAAAAAAGGCGAAGGCTATGTACAACGGCTTTGGGTGAAGCCGGAACGTAGGGAAAGGGTCGGCTGATCTGGATGCGGAACACAAGGTGATGTAGGGTATTGGAGGTTGTTTGCGACGTCAAGGCTTGGATGCTGTCAGATGGCGCAGATGCGATGCGATGCGACCTTGTGACATGGGTCAGCAAAGCTCAAGCTGGGAAGCTGGACGCAGGCGTGGTGAGTGACGACAACGGGGCGCGGGGTGACCTGGCTCGCCTGGCTGCATCCGGGGGCGGCATGGCACTGGAGCGCCCTGAAGCCCGCTAGAGCTGCCTGCACCAGAGCTGGTGACGGGCTTCAAGGCGGCCGGGGAGCAGGTTCCTCCAGGCGCCGGAGGGCTTCCTCAGGCAGGCCGGCTTACCTCATCAGGGCAGCTGCAGCAGCGCCCAGGGTAGAGCTGCACACTTTGGTGGGGCACCGCAGGAAAATCCAAAGTCAAGATTCGCGCCCTCTGCCGCAAAAATTCTCTCCTCTGCCTTTTTTCCCTCATCCTGCCCATCACTGCACCAGGCTTCTCCCAGCCCAGATACCCAATCCCCTCTTTTCCTCCCCCCCTCCTCTGGGTAATAGGTACCCTACGCGGCCGCCAACTGGGGGACGGGTTCACACGGTTTGCGGCTGGTCACACCAGCCAGCCAATCCTTCACCACGACGTCCCTCCTCGCGCCCTCCCTTCCCTTCGCTTCTTTTTTCCCCCCTTTACACCCACGCGCAGCTAGCTCTGCTTTTCGTTACTGTACCGGCAACAGTTTCAGTCACCCCTCACCTTCAGTGCTTCGTTGCACTGTTTTGTATACCCCCTCCCGTTCCTACGCAAAGAAACGAGGATCCAAGATGCCTCCCAAGAAGCAGGTTGAGGAGAAGAAGATTCCCCTCGGCCGCCCTGGCAACAGTCTGAAGAGTGGAATTGTACGTTGTCCCCCCCATCAACCACACCACCCTGCCGCCGTCTGAAGCGAACCCCGCGCCTCCCACCAATTTTTTTCCCCCTTTCCCTTGTACCCCTCCAAGCTTCGAGGCTGACCCCGCGATCCTCACAGGTCGGCCTTGCCAACGTCGGCAAATCCACCCTCTTCCAGGCCATCACCAAGTGCAACCTCGGCAACCCTGCTGTAAGTCTCTCTGCTGTCCCCGTCGCCCCGTGGACCTCCAGGCTCATTGATTGACCAAGGTGTAGAACTTCCCCTACGCCACCATCGACCCCGAGGAGGCCCGTGTCATCGTCCCCGATGCGCGCTACGACTGGCTGTGCGAGAAGTACAACCCCAAGTCTCGTGTCCCCGCCAACTTGACCGTCTATGACATCGCCGGTCTGACCCGCGGTGCCTCGACCGGTGCTGGTCTCGGCAACGCCTTCCTGTCCCACATTCGTGCCGTCGATGCCATCTTCCAGGTGGTGCGCTCCTTCGACGATGCTGAGATTATTCACGTCGAGGGTGACGTCAACCCCACGCGTGATCTGGACATCATCAGCGAAGAGCTCCGATTGAAAGATATCGAGTTCGTCGAGAAGGCTCTGGAGGCCCAGAAGAAGAAGACTCTCTCTTGCGGCCAGAGTCTCGAGATGAAGAAGATGATTGCCGAGCAGGACACCATTCAGAAGATCATCGACTGGCTGAAGGACGGCAAGGATGTCCGAAAGGGCAACTGGTCCCCCAAGGAGGTAAGCCGCAGACCATTTTTCTTTTCTTCCCTCGCAAAACGAGCCATCCCCTGGCGACTCGCATGATGATAAAGGACCCGAGGTCCGACTTATAACCCAGCTCGTCGAATGCCTCACAATAAACGCAGAGTGCATACTGAGATAAAAAATCATACTGACTTTCGAGTCGCAACACCTCTCATGATATTGCTTCACGGATTGTATCGAATGATTACTGACAAGAAGCTCTTCCAGGTCGAGGTCATCAACCCTCTCTTCCTCCTGACGGCCAAGCCTGTCGTCTACCTCGTCAACCTCTCCGAGCGTGACTACGTCCGCAAGAAGAACAAGCATCTCCCCAAGATCGCCGAGTGGATCAAGGAGAACGCCACTGGCGACCCCATCATCCCCATCTCCGTTGCCTACGAGGAGCGTCTCAGCCGCTTCGAGACTGAGGAGGAGTCCCTCGAGGAGCAGAAGAAGGTCGGTGCTGACTCGGCCCTTCCCAAGCTCGTCATCCAGATGCGCAAGTCTCTCGACCTCGGCAGCTTCTTCACGACCGGCACGGACGAGGTCAGGCAATGGACCCTGCGCAACGGCACCAAGGCCCCTGGCGCCGCCGGTGTCATTCACACCGACTTTGAGAAGACGTTCATCCAGGCCCTCGTCTACAACTTCTCCGTGCTGAAGGAGCTCGGAGACGAGTCCGAGGTTAAGGCCAAGGGCAAGGTCATGACCAAGGGCAAGGATTACGTCGTTGAGGATGGTGACATTTTGCTTATCAAGGCCGGTGCGGCCAAGGCTTAGACGTTTTCATGACGAACGTGAGACGCGAAAAAGCCGATTGAATGAAATTGATGAAGACTACAACTTGTCTCTTTATTTGGTGAATGTGATTGTTTATGTTTGGACTGGTGCTCCCAAACTGAAGCAGTGTGAGATCCCATTGGCGGCTTACGTGGTGTCTTCCGTCCCAGACAAGCGCCACACCGAGCATCACGTATCATGCGCCTGGAAAGCATCAGAAGCCAGGTCCGCCATCCGCCCAGGGCTTCCCCACATATCCAGACTTCTCCCCGATACACGTATCGCGCAGCGCAGCCTTTGCCTCGGCACTGCCCGCCGCATAACACGGCAGATCCCCTGTGTCGCCCGTCACGCCGTCACAAATGGCTATTGCAGGCCCGCCGCACGGCGACCGCACGGCAAAGTTGCGGAAGCGGATATTGTCGCACACGGCGTCGGGGCTCGTCGAGCACGTCAGCTTGGCGACGGCACGGCCGCGGGTCCCGCGCGTCGAGCCCGTAAGTTCTCAAAGAGGACGTTGGTGATGGACATGCCGGCCGGGTATGCCTCGCAGGTCTGGGCATTGATCTGGTTTGTTCTGTCAGATGGGCGCTTCCAGAGAATTCCGTCGTCCAGGGGGGGGGGGGG